ACCTCGGACTCAACTTCCCTTTCTTACCGAATCTGGACAGACCTCTCATGGGCGATACTTTAAGAAATATGTGATCCCTTACTTGAAACTCCAAAGGTCTTCGCCTTTTGTCTGCATAGCTCTTCTGACGGCTTTGAGCTGTTTTCAACCTTTCACAAATCACCTTAACAGCTTCTATCGACTGTTGAACTAACTCTGGCCTGGTTATACTCCTTTCTCCTACTTCGTCCCAACACACGGGCGTCCTACAAGCCCTGTCATATAGTGCTTCAAATGGCACCATTCCAATGCTCTGCTGAAAATTATTATTATACGCAAATTCTGCTAAGGGCAATTGTTCTTCCCACTTACCCTGAAAATCCAATACACATGCCCTGAGCATATCCTCTAAAGTCTGAATCGTCCTTTCAGACTGGCCATCCGTTTGTGGATGGTAAGCTGTACTAAACTGCAGCTTTGATCCTAATGCCGTCTGCAAACTTTTCCAAAAATTGACGGTAAACCTAGGATCACGATTTGAGGTAATCGTCATTGGCACCCCATGCAATCGAACTATTTGTTGCACATACAACTCAGCATATCTATCTAATGTGAAGTCTTTTCGTACAGCCATAAAGTGTGCCGATTTTGTCAGCCTATCGACAATCACCCAAATAGCATCATGGCATCTTTGGCTTCTTGGTAATCCTGTCACAAAATCCATAGTTATATGTTCTCATTTCTATTCTGGGATTTCCAAAGGTCGCAATAACCATCCGGGCTTACAATGTTGTGCTTTCACTTGCTGGCACGTCAGACACTTGGCCACATGCCTAGCTATATCCACCTTTATACCATTCCACCAATAATACTACCTCAAATTCTAATACATTTTGGTACTACCTGGGTGGATGCTATAACTACTACGATGCGCTTCCGATAAAATTTCTTCCTTAAGTTCCGCATCGTCAGGCACACATAATCGTCCACGAAACTTCAATATCCCATCTTCGGATATCTGGATGTCTGGCTTCCTCTTGGAATCATCCGTCTCTATAATCCTTTGGATTTCTTGATCCGTAGACTGTAAAGTCCTAATCTTAGCTTGGATCTCCGGTTCAATCCTTAGCGTGGCTAGTAGACTCGAGACTTGACTTACTTCAAATTTAAATTTCGAATCTCGCACTTTTTCTAACAAAGCCCATTCCTTAACCATCAAATGTGCGATGCTTGACTTCCGACTCAATGCATCAGCTACCCGGTTGGCTTTCCCAGGGTGATATAAAATATCCCAATCGTAATCCTTCAGCAATTCCATCCATCGACGCTGCCTCATATTTAACTCCTTTTGAGAAAACAAATATTTGAGGCTTTGATGATCTGTATATATTTGAAACTTTTCTCCGCATAGATAGTGTCGCCAGATGTTACGGGCGAATACTATAATAGCTAATTCCAAATCATGCGTCGGGTAGTTTAGCTCATGCGGTCTTAACTGTCTTGACGCGTAGGCCACTACTTGTCCATTTTGCATGAGTACACACCCCAGTCCTTTCAACGACGCATCACTATAAATTTCGTATCTTCCAGGTCCTGATGGAATAGTCAACACCGGTGCCGTTGTCAATCTATGCTTTAATTCCTGAAAACTCCTTTCACATTTGTCGGTCCACTCAAATCTCGTTTTCTTTTTCAACAAATGTGTCAACGGTGTTGCTATTACCGAAAATTCTTCCACGAAACGACAATAATATCCTGCCAAACCTAGAAAACTTCGAACCTCTGTTACCGTCGTCGGTCTCGGCCATTTCATTACCGCCTCAATTTTCATGGGATCCACTAAGATTCCTTCTCCAGAAATCACGTGTCCGAGAAATGCTACTCGATTGAGCCAAAACTCGCACTTGCTAAACTTAGCATACAATGCGTTCTCTCTTAAAGTTTGCAACACTCTACTCAAGTGAAATTCATGCTCCTCTAGACTCTTCGAGTACACCAATATGTCATCTACAAAAACGATCACAATTTGATCTAAGAACTCTTTAAACACCCGATTCATTAGGTCCATAAAGGCAGCAGGGGCGTTCGTCAATCCGAACGGCATTATCGTAAATTCGTAATGTCCATACCTCATCCTAAATGCCGTCTTCGATATATCCTCCTTCCTAATCCTCAATTGATGATATCATGTTCTCAAATCGATTTTAGAAAACACCGAAACCCCTTGTAATTGATCAAACAAATCATCAATTCTCAGCAGGGGATATTTATTTTTTATCGTCACCTGATTTAGCTGCCTATAGTCAATACATAACCTCAATGATCCATCTTTCTTCCTCACAAATAAAACTGACGCTCCCCATGGATACGCACTTGGATGAATGAATCCTTTATCTAATAATTCTTGTATTTGCACATTTAACTCCGACAACGACATTCTATAAGGTGCTTTCGAGATTGGCTCAATTCCAAGGGCCAACTCGATTACAAACTCTACTTCTCTTTCTGGTGGCAATCCCGACAATTCCTAAGGAAATACATCGAGATAATCGCACATTACGGCTATATCCTCTAGCCTCGGCTCCTCAGCCGTCGAATCGACTACAGCTGCTAGAAATCCTTGACACCCTTCGTTCAATAACTTAGTCATTTCTAGCGACGAAATCCATGGAATCGAGGGTCCCCCTCGATTTCCCACAAATTTGAATTCCGGATGTCCAACAGGATTAAATTGGATCACCCTGTTATTGCAATCTATTACGGCCCTCTGCTTAGACAGCCAGTCCATACCTACTATCACATCAAAATCGTATATGGCTAGAACCACTAAATCAATCCTTTCCTCCCTATCACCAATCACAATCTTATAATTCTGGCACCCCAACGAGACTAACATCTTATCATTTAAGGGAGTTGTCACGCATAATACAACATCAAGCAAATGCGGTTCTATACTAATCAACTCAATAAATTGTTCAGATATAAATGAATGTGATGCTCCAGGGTCATATAAAGCATATGCAGCATGGTTGCACAGAGAAACCGTACCTGTGACAACTCCTGGTGTGTTCTCTATTTCTCTTCTGGCCATGGTGTACACCCGTCCTTGCACCTGTGGCCTAGTCTGATTAACTATCTGGGCCGCTCCAGTCTGGTTCCCATTTCGGGATGGCGGCAACGCAGGCGATCTACTCTGCCTGAGGTTGGGGCAAAACCTTATGTGATAACCAAATCCACCACATCCGAAACATGCTCCGCCCCTGGTTGGACAAGGTCCGTTTCCATGCCTTTCCCTACACACCAGACATGGACCATTCTGATTACGGGCCGGCTTCCCTATATTCCTTCTAGCCGGAGGGACAAAACGTCGATTACCCGTCATTGGCCTCTTTCCTAACTGATGGTTGTCCCTACCGTGGGCAAACCTCGATCCAGAAGCAACGGCCCTATCCGCCAAGTCTCTCTCAATCGCTTGAGCCCTATCATAAATCTCATTATACTCTCTCAAATTCAATGAGATCATTTGGCTACGAAGGTCCGGTTTCAAACCGTCTCGGAACCTCCGAGCCCTATCTAACGGGTCCTCAACCATCTTCGGGGCGAACTTAGACAACCGAGCAAATTCGGCCTCGTACTGATCCACCGTTCTCTGCCCCTGACGCAACCTCATAAACTCAGATAATTTTTGTTCCCAGGCACTCTCAAAAAATATTTGCCATTAAAGGCTTATACAAACATCGTCCAAGTCTCAAATTTGTACCGCGGAATATCATTCCTCTGGTGGCTTTCCACCAATCATTTGCATTTCCTTGCAATTGATATACTGCCAATGTCACTTTCTCCTCGTCTGTACGTCCCAATACTTCAAAAGCCTTCTCTAATTCCTCCACCCACAGCGATGCACCATCAAGATTGCCTATACCATCAAACTTAGGAGGCTTTAATTTCAGAAACTACTCCACTAATTGGTGCATTTGCCTATTCACATTCACTTGCCCCTGCCCTTGAATCCCATTATTATTATTGGCAGCAGTGGCCACAGCGGCCTCGGCAGCTTGGGCAATCGTGGCAGCTCGTTCCTGAGTCTGCCGTCCTATCAGATTACCAATTTCTTCTAGGGTCCTCATGACCGCATCCATTCTAAGATCTTCTGCAGGTCGGGCTCGGGCTCGTGAGCTGGACGGACCCCCAGTTCCTCTACCTCGCAAACTCATCCTCACAATTTCTACCACTCGACTACCTGCTATAATTCCACTGAGGAATTAGAAACCTAGGCCAACTATACCAATCTAGTCCTAGGCAGTGAATTAACGCAATAATTCACTCAGCAGGAAATCAATCACCACAGCACAGCACAAGGCCACAATTAATAGGGTCTGTGCACTTACCTCAGGTCCAGACGCACCTGCATTTCAATCGTTATAACACTCAATTCACCCAATAATCACAACAAACAATCTAGAGGCACGTGTAGCTCATTCCGCCCTATGACTCGCTAAGGTCTTCCTAGATTACTACCCTAGGGTCTCTGCTCCTTATCACTCTAGACTTCGATTAACTTAGATCGAGATGTCCTCGCTCTGATACCAAACCAACACGTGATGTCACGCCCCGAACCCCTTCGAGCACGCAACACACTTATCTGGTCGAATAATGCGATGTCCCAGGGTATCGCCGACCCAATCCAACTTATCAAAGATTTACATCCATTAGCGAAAGCCACAATTAATACCCGGACCATAATAAATGGGGTAAACAAGGAAAATTAACCACATCCATTACTGATTCAAACTTATATAATATCCACAATTTACAAACCACAATATACACAAGCACACCGAACTTCTACACTATTAACCACCGACATAAAAAAGGATCAATAGCCTGGGTACCCTATCACCAAAAATGGAACACCTCAAAAAAACCTATTCCCAACCCCTACACTAGCCCCTACGCCCTCTGTTTGGTGTCCACTCCGAGTCTGTTTCTTCAGCACTCGAGTCTAAGTCCCCCTGAACTGTCTACTCCTCTGAAAACTCCGGTTCGGCCTCGATCTCAATCGAGTTATTTAAATCACCCGACTCCGCTGGAACCTCGTCTCGCTGCTCCTCGACTGGCTCCTCATCAGACTCGTCCTCTGGCACAAACTCGGGGTCAATCCATTGCTCATACTCGGGTATGTGCTCCGGTTCTTCTTCCGGCTCATCCTCATGCTCATCTTCTGGAGCCTCTTCAGGTTCTGCCTCGGGTTGTTCCTCTTTTGGTTCTTCCTCGGGTATTACCTCGAGGTCCACGTCCATCGGATCGTACCCCGCCTGGGATTCTTCCGGCTCTGGTTCATGCTCGTCCCCCGAAGGCTCAGGTGCTATAGGCGTTTGCTGGAGTCCAGATTGTGCCAGACTAGTCTCTAGGCTCGTCATCTCGCCGTCGGGAGGGGGTATGGCTGTCGGGTCCTAATCTCCAACACCGTCAAAGGGGACATCAAATTCACGGACATGGCCAAACTCATCTACCCCGTCTCGAAAGAACCAAGCGGTATAGGTATGGGCCTGCCAAAGGGGTAATCCTACGTCTACCCAGACTACCGTGGTATGCTTGATCCAGGTCATATGATCATCTATAGGGTACTCTACGACGTCGTGGTCGGTGTGCATCGATACTCCAAAATGTTCAGGTGGCGGCGGTGGAAGATTCATTGCTCAGGCCGGGGTTCTGAAATTTTTGGTTGAAACAATCATGAGATTACATCTCAATAAGTACACCCCTAAACCCTACCTATGCTATCACGTACCTCCAGATAAACACAACCACAACCACACTCAGCCATCACACAGTAGGCACACAATTAATACTTACCTGGGCCTTTCTAGCGTGCAACCTGCACATTAGTCTCAATAGCACCATTTCCACTCACATACACATTCTAAATACGTTTCATGCATTCGTTCCGGCCTCATCACATTCTTTTCACCCAACTCGCTAGTGACCCGCGTAATGGTACTGCCTCAGGGTCACTGCGACTATCACATTCTCGACTTGCTAGTGGCCCGCGTAGTAGTATCGCCTCAGGTTCACTGCGACTAACTCATAACAACACTTCAGGGCCCGCGTAATGGTACCGCCTCAGGCCATGTATCTTGCCCGCGTAGTGGTACTGCCTCAGGCTCAACACCCACCACCTACGACACAACCCGCGTAATGGTACCGCCTCAGGTTAGTCGTCCTCCGGTAATACCGGGCATCGTCCCGCGTAGTCGTACCGCCTCAGGACGGACCAATTCCCCGCATAATAATACCGCCTCAGAGATTTTCGTAACCTCATGCCCAACATTCCACACACTTTCTCATTCCATTACTCACTCGATTCTCACACCAACAAGCCTAATTACTAGCGGATTAAATCCGGCTCATGCACGCATCCACTCCACGCATTTCACATGCTCAGACAAAGCCTAAAATGGCCAAATTTGCAATCCACGCAACTTAGCCCATGCGTGCACACAACAACTCATATTTCAATCAATCAAATCACGATTCAACGAACATTCAAGGCCACTTACGGCCCACAATCATAGCCACATAATGAGCACAAATTCAGCAAGTCCACACTCATTTCAAGTCATAAATAGCGCCACAATCCAGCCACTATATAACGCACCCAACGGACACCACTTGCCCTTAAATCGAACCGTATGCTCATCAATACGAGCCAAATTTCCAGCACCCAAATTCACATCATCTCAGCCTCGAAACATCATCATTTCACCATCTAAAATCAGTCAATATCAATCCTCAAACCGATCCGCTAAATTAATCCCAAAACAGCCCCTAATTTAGCCAAAACCGCATCTAATTAAATCCGATTCCACCCCTAATTCGTCCGTCGATACCAGAAGTCCTAAATAGAGTTTAGGGCGTGACTTACCCAAACTCTAGACTAGCTCGGCTAATGTGGAAAGGGGGAACGGCTGATTGGCAGCTCATGGTGGCACTCGGCGGCGGCGAGCGACTCCGGTGTGGACGGCGTTCGGCAAGCAGCGACGGCTGGCGGTGGCTTCCTTGGCTGCGGTTCACGGCCACGGGAGGGTAGAGAGAGAGAGAGAAGGACGGCGTGAGGGTGATGGTGTGGCTCGGTGGCGGGACGGCGGTGGCACGGCGGATGGTGGCCGGCGAGCGACGGCGCGGCAAGGGGGAGGGCGGTCGATCGGTGAGGGAGGGGAGGGAGTCGAGAGAGGTGAGAGAGAGAGAGAGAGAGAGAGAGAGAGAGAAAGTTGGACTAAATAGTCCAAGGCAATAATTGAAGGGCCAAATGACCATCATGCCCCTATCTCACAAATCCAATCAACGGCCGAGATTCATTCTTATCCTGAGATCGACGGCCCGAATCGAATCTTTTCCAAAATATCCAAGGGTAATTTAAGAATTTCTCAAAAAGTCCAACGGAAAAATTGTCCAAAAATCTCTAATTCTAAGGCTAGGGCGAAATTACCAAAATGCCCTTCTCAATTTACATTGGCCTTAACAAATTCCCAGAGGTAAAATGGTCATTTTCCATTTCTCGCCAAAATTAAATTTTTCTGAAGGATTCGGGCAAATCCGAGGATACCCGGGCAAATGACAACATCGTCCAAATGTCCTGTCGTGACTTTCTAAATTTTCAATGCCCATCTCGGTCTCTAATTTAATAACTAAATTTTACACAACGCAACTTGAGCAAATCTCAAACTAACGTGTGGCTTTTGGGGAAATTCGCATTACTGACCCGTGGTCGATACTAAATCATGCCATGTATAAGTTTACTCTGGTCGTGACGACCTCGGTTGTCACTTAATCGCGAGGATCGATCACTAGATCCTATGGGCACGATCGTTTGGTATAGGTTTGGGGTTATTCGTCAATTCATTTCGTGGCAAGTGGAATCACCCGCGATCCATTAATATGACAATGGCGAACTGATCCCTGGCTATCCTTGGATCGGCCTACAGTGGCTCAAAATGTCACCTTGATGATTTTCATGGTCGAAAGTCCGTTAACAATCGAGTTCTTTGGTCGCACGAATTTAAATCCCTAATTAGCCTTTCCCTAACGGTTAGTATTTCCGAAGTGATCAATTCTGGGCGAGATCTAACTACAAGCACGTGCATAAACTACTCATTTCATAAATCCCAGATGGGTCGGATTTCAGAATGTCACATATGATTCGAAACTGGTTGTTAAACTCTTATGTTGAACTCTTATTGATTATGTTATTATCTTGTACTAATCCTTTCTGCTGATGTCAAAAAGGGGTGACGTATTATACAGATTATGAATCCAAATGTGGCGTGAGCAGCATAATGAACTATTATACCGGAATGCTGGTTTCAGAAATTAACACTACTTTATATGCTTTGAATGTCATAGCCTCTTAATAGAGTATTTTGTTCACATAAATATATTTAAAATATATGGATAGTTTTGTCATCATCAAAAAGGGGGAAAATATTGAGGAAAATCCCTAATTAGTTTTGAAGAAAGACAAAACAATCCCTTTCTGACCACAATTACACTTAAGTTATTTGATGTAGGTAAATACTAAGTCATGAGACTTAGTCGATGAAAGAACTTTGGCAAATTTATGCAGGACAATCAAATTGATTTCTCAAGATATCCTAATTGGTAATCACAATATCGTTCCTTAAACACAAAGAACTACACTTATAGAAACCTTGATTTGATTGTATGGGAGATCAAATCACTTGGAGATAATGATTCTTTTTCTAACTGCTATGCATATTCTTTTGGGAAGATTCTCTAACGGGTTGATTTGGAGATCAATCTTCTGAAGACTGTTCAACGGATAGATTAGACATAAAGGAGTATAAAAGGAGTGCAAACGTCGTACAAGAAAAATAACCAAAATCGAGAATTCCAAAGTCTGAATAGAGCTTCAATCTTATACGCACGTGATTACTGTATTCCACATTGTTACTTTAGAAAGAAAATTACTTGAGTGAAGAGTGTACGTGATAGTGCAATCTATCATCTGAGAAGCACTACTTTTGCAATCTCTTGATGATTCAATAGTGAAACACAACCAACAGGCTTCCAGCGTGAAGAGTGGACGTAGACTTGATAAAGCCGAACCACTATAAAGATCTGTGTACAGTATTCTCTATCCCTAAACTTTCATTCATTATTGTTGACATTATACTACATACATATCTGTCAAATCAGTTCGTTAAAACATCATCATAGTCATTAGACGCAATCATCTAACGACAACTTATTTACAAGTTTGTCATACGTATCTATCTAGTATTGATCATACGAGTTGTTGACCTCGACTATATTCATTCCGCACGTTTAAATCATAAAATTTTGTAAAATCACCTATTCATCCCCCTCTTGGTGATAGCACTAGCCGTAACACCACCGTCAATTGAATCTTAGTGAAAGAAGATTGACATAAGGCAAACGGTTCATAATTGTCGCGACCTCCCCGAATCGGCCCCGCCGCCTAGGGGGTTTGGCTAATGGATTACTAAGTTAAACCTAGCTCGAGCTCTCCCAAGCCCATACCAATTCGCGACTTAAATTTAAGTTATTAACATGCAAATCAATTACATTTAGAAGTCGCCACTAATCAGTTTTTGGTGGGTCGATTAGACACCCAAGTAAAGTACAGGAGAAATGCTTCACTTCTACGAACCAAAGATTTAATGGGTACGGGGACTTGATTATACTAATTGACCAATTAGTGCCCTTTCGGTACCTAATCTTGTTCAATTCACTACCTAATGTGTTCACACTAATCGGGAGTCTCAAAATTCCATTCCTAACCAAGCTAAGGGAAGCAATTGCACAATCAACACATGAATCTAACATGCAGTCAACCACATGAGCGGTTAAATTAAACACGCGATTCAAAGTGTATGAATCGAGTAACGTGCCATCAAACATGACACTAATCACATAATAGGGCAAGAACAATATATTCCAAAGCCCAAATGATATTTTTTTATTTTCAAAATTGTTTAATTAATTTTTTTTTTAAAATATTTTTATATTAAAATAATAATATAATATTAAAATAATATAAAAAGGGACCCGAGTTGCATCTCCCTATCCGACCCGGACAGGAATTGACCCGGGCGCGCCTGCCCGGGTCCACCGCGACGTGGGCTCCGCGAAGGCCCAACTCGAAAAAACCAAAAACCCAAAATAAATAAATAAAAACGCCCCAACTTAGCCCACTAGAAATAAAAACTTAAATAACAATTCGGCCCAATTTCCCAATTAAGCCCTCCCACAAAATGACCCTAAACCTAAAAGCCTATTCTAATCCTAAACTAAAATGCCCAAGGCCAAATAAAACCTAATAACTTAAGACTGGCCCGACTCGCAAACCCTACCCGGTCATGACCCGTGCACCCGACTT